CTTACTAACATGTTAACGTACATTTTATATATTAATTAAAAATTATAATATACATATATGCATACATAAGTAGGTACATACTATTTTTCTATGTACACTGAGAAAAGAGTTAGCTGAATACATACATACATTTAGTTGCCGTAACAAAACTCTTTTTCTCATATTTTCGTATGCTTTTTAGAGTCAGCCAAATTTTAGAAGATCTAATGAATAATGGCATAAGTAATTAATAAAAAAATTTAAGACGTACATACATATATACATACATACATAATTATGTAAGTATTCCTTTTGTTTTGTGGAAATAGAAAATTTGAAATTTTTGTAAAAATATTTTATGGGTATTTTCGATTTGTACGAAAACAGCTTCGTTGGACTGGGCTCTTCTTCTCAGGGGTGTTTACAACTAGGCGTTGAGAGTGCTTATTTCTATAATTTTCTTCTATTAACAATATTAAATTGACTTTCGGGAATTAAATAGGTAGGTTAAATAGGCCAATTAAATAATGTTTGTACGTAGAACCTTCCCAGTTGAGTACAGCTAACAAACGCCAAGCATTGGAAAACTTTATAGGAAATGTTGCTTTTGCCCATTGGCTGCTATTTAATCTCTCTCTATTAGTAACAAGATAAAACAAGAAAAAATCGAAAATAATAATATCTAAAACCTAATAAGCTGCATGAAAATTAATAGATAACAAATTTAAATTTCAATTATGAAATTCTAGTACTTTACTCATATATTTATATATATATATAGTATATAAGCTAGTGTATTATTTAAAATTATAATAATGTATGCTACATACTTACATACACATATATGTACATATGTATATTGAAATGTAATTTAATATTTAACGCTTCACATACATATCCATTTATAAATATTATCACTTATCTTTATCTATTAATGCTTGCAATCGTAAAGCGGATATAATATAGGATGTTACGCTCTAACGGAGAGCGCCTGAAGTAAGTTTGTATTAGTATTACATTCACAGCAAAAGTAAAATTTGATGAGCGAAATAGAACAATAAATAAATTAGCAAATAAACAAGAGTACAAACACGCACACAAACACTCACAGGCACATATACATACATATGCAAATATATATATGCAATATAAATGTACTGCATATTCTACCATTCTCTAACAAAAATTAAAAAAATAATAATTAAAAAATTTAAAGATACCGTATTTATACAGTGACTCAAACACGTGTTCACGTGTTGAATTTTTTTAATATATACAACATTTTAAGTTTATTTATTTTTTTCTATAAAAATGTTGTCGAAGCTTTAGCCAAAACGATATAAATCAAAGTTTCAAAATGTATACAAAATCTAGGAAAATTCAACAAAGTTTCATTAAAATTTCGAGCTTTTTAATCTGAACCTTTACATCCTTTTTGGGCAGGCAGTTTTATATTCCATGCAATTTTTGAGAATGTTCTTTTTTACTGCTTTTACTGTTTTTTATAACAACTTCTATTTATAAAAACTGGCGTTGATATTTTGAAATTTTGTTACCAAAGGTCTCCCTCCATTTTCTTTCATTAGGAAATTCATGCTTATATGGAAAAAGTTGCAAAAATCCGTCAGCAAAAAAAAAAATATTAAAAATCAACGGGATTTTTATGCCGCTTGAAAGTTGCACTCCGTTGGACTATAATTGTATACAATTTTGTAAATATTCTTATTAAAGGCTCCAAATTTTTATGAAAATTTGTTGAATTTTCCTAAATTTTGTATAAAGTTTGAAACTTTGATTTATATGGTTTGGCTAAAGCTTGTACAATATTTTTATTGAAAAAGAAAAAAAAAATAACTTAAAAAACGTTGTGAATATTAAAAACCAACACGTGAATACTTGTTTAGGTCACAGTAGTTTAAGCAACAAATTTTTACTAATTTTTCAAACACAAATATTTCCAAATTATAATTTTTGTATAACCCTATTTTTTATGATTACAATTTTTTTTATAATTTTTTGCTAGGCCTAAGCTCCATAGAAAGAGAGTGGCATTTCCGCCTTATCTATACATATTGTGTACACATAACAGTACAAAATACTTACTCGAACGCAAAGGATGCTCTATGAGATATTTGTTTATTCAAACTTTCTCGATTAAATATATTGACAAAATTATTATTTTTTTTAGTTAGATGCTTCCGTAGTCAAAAAAATGCCAGATTTTAGGCTCGCAGTTATAGATTTAATGCGAAATAATTTTAAAACGAAATATTTAAAAACGATAGTTTTGGTTGTTATCTGTTTTACGTTTAGTTATGTTTTTTACTTTTTTGTTTATTTTTTTTTGCATTCCTAAATGCTACAAATTTTTATTTTCGTAAATAAAAAAACTATTCAATCGATTACACTCAATAAATAAGCATACACACATACAATTATTTTTTTTTCTCTTTCCTTCTAACCTAACTAATTTCCCAACTTCTTCTCGTCACTTCGCCAGATTCACCATATCACGACGTAAGCGGCCTACCTAGCCCCTACAACATGGAGCATATGGAACAGGATGAAGTGATACCGCCACAGCAGCACATGTCACTCAGCTATGATGACAGCTACGAGGGTGAATACTCGTCAACGCCCAATTCACGCAATCGACGTGTCATACGCGAAATTATCGTGTAATAGAATAGAAAAAATAAAAATATTAATTTAAAATAGAGAGTGAAAACAAAATTAATACAAATCTTTTTGGTTAAGAGAGTGTTGTTAAAATGCATCGCGCGTAGAGTATGTGTGATTCGAGTGAGGCCAACAAAAAACGAAACAAAACATAACAACAAAAGCGGTGCATATGTTTACAAATAAGTTAAACAAAATGAAACGCACTCGCGAAAAGCCAGAAATGTTAAGCGAAATATTTTACAAAACCACTTTTTATGTTTTTTTTTTTGTTTTGTGAAAATAAGTTTATTCTTATGTAAGTCAAGCGGGTAAAAGCGAAGGAGAGGAAAAATAGAAAAATGTGAGTGAAATCAAAATAAGCGCCCTCACAGCATCAATTTACTGCAGCAGAAACACAAACACACACACAGACTGAAATGTCTCGGCAAGCACTGATTGTTTAGCATTTTTTGAGGAAAAGTCAATATTTCTCGCTGGCTTTAAATAATAAGAAATTCACACACACCCACTCACATGTGTAGCAAGCAACGGGCGTCGCATGCAACATAGCATACTTATGGGAGTAAAGTTGCACATAAACACACACACACACACCCACACCAACGCATTTCTGGTTTATCTCTCTGCTGTTTGCATTTGTGCAAGTGCCATTCAAACATACATACATACATGCATACATATGTACCAGCATGCATATTGCATGCAACCTTCGTTTTTTGCCACTTTTATGCACTCGCGCACTCAATCACCCACTCACTCACTCACTCCTGAAACGCATTAATTTCGCGCACACTCGCTGCATTCTTCTGCTAATCATGTATTCATTCAAGCATTCCTTCTGCTGCGCTCGTTTTACGTACAAACAAACATAAATATTTACACTATCTACACCCAACGAAAAGCAAAAACAACCGGAAACATATTCAACGTATTTGAGAGTTGCCATTTTTTTTTTAGAATTCTTAGTTTATAAAGCAAAGGAATAAGTAAAATTTTTTATAAGAAAAAAAAGGAAACGAAAAAGTACGAGACTCTTCTACTAACTAATTAAGTGTATGTAAATTATGTACTATAAATACATACATACATACATAGGAGTATTTTCGAGACAAATTTTCGGAATGAGGTTTGGCGCTTTGCGCGCGTGACATGCTGAGATAGTGGCAAATACCTTCTATTATCCATATTCTGTTAACTGTAAAAAAAGCAAGAAAACAAAAATTTAAAAATAATTAAGATTGTAGCTAAAAGTGCAAATATGTTGGTAAGTGCGTGTGTACTTAAGCATAAATGCGGAAAAATTTGCTAGATTTCCGTTTTTTTTTTTTATTAAAGTAAGCTGCCAAATGAAAACGCAAAAGGAATTACTTACCCAAAAAAGAAAACACATCTTTCGAATTCCCTCTAACACTTTTATTTATGTACAGATATTAATTCATACATAGAAAAAATAAAACACGCATTTTGGCATACTAGCGGGACATTGTGCAGCGCGACGAACCGGAAAGCATATATTTTTTTGATGAAAAATTAAGAAAATATATAAATTATGCAAATCATGGCACGATTGTCGCAAATTAGCAACAAAGAAATGAGTAAGATTTTGAACATATTTTTGCATAATCTTCAAATTTTTTTAACTTTTCTTTTTGACCTTAATATGAAGATTTTTTGAACTCAACAAAAGTCATATGCATATTTTTGTTCAAAACAAGTTTTTTTGCATAATTTTATTCACGTACATACATATGTATATTAGGGTGATTCAGAAAAAAAAAATTTATTTCTCGGAACCGTGCTCAAATGTTTAAACTAAATAAGTCTCGAAAAAATATGAGCCCATAAGAATACACAGGAAAAATTGTTTTTCTTTTTTACTTCTGATTTTTATATTTAACGAACGATACGTTGCACTATAAAGGTATAGAGAATGGAACGCTCTATAAAAAAAGTCAAAAGTCATTTTTAGATAAGTCAACTCGGTCAAAAGTTATTCGAGGTCAAAATCGAATGAATGGCCTCACATTTTCTGAGACTTATTTTGGCGTCTAAGCGGAACTTTTGAGCATGGTTCTGAGAAAAACAACCAAAATTTTTCACCATAATGTATATTGTAGTTATTTTACAACTTTTCGAATGAATTTGAAAAACCTATATAAAAAGTATTCATTTTCTAATTTTAACAATACTCTTATACGCTTTTTTGCAATTAAAGAACACAAAGTACGGAACGTAGCGGTTATGATATTTATAATAAAAATCATTACATAAACGTAATATATATTTTTTCGAACAAGTTTAATCATTGTTTTATGATTTTTATTCTTTCGATCAAGAATAGCGGTTATTTTTGGATTTATAATTTTTCGATAAATTTTGTACCGTTATTTTGGATTTGTATTTGTTAGATCATATTATAATCGTTGTTTTTAGATTTAGTTTGTTGATCATAGGAGCTTTAACTCGGTCTTAAAAACGCAGTCTCCATCATAACGAGAAAATATTATGGAAAAAAATGTAAGTGCAAAACAACGAATATTTTTTAGCGAAAAAAGAAAATCACAAAATAACGTTTTAATTTTACCGGAAAAATTAAAATCCAAATTCAACGATTATTCTTGATCGGAAATAACAATGATCTAAAAATAAAGATATTTATAGAAATTTTTGGTATGTTTTTCTAGTTTCGAAGTTTTTAACTTGAACCCAGATCTCGATAAAACTTTTCGGGGTGCATTACAAAATTAAAAAAATAATGTATATACTTTAGTACGATTTTATAAAAAGTTTGAATTTTTTTTGTAAATCTATCTATTTACATATACGAAATGCTTTGCAGATTTTTATTTACAATTTTATATAAACTTGCAATAGAATTATACTTTTTTTTATTTTTGTTTTTTTTATTTTTGTTTTTTTTATTTTTGTTTTTTTTATATTTTTTATATAAAATTTTTTCAAAATTTTTTTTTTCGTATTAAACTTTCAGTAGGGCTATCAAAGCAGGGTTAAGAGTATGGCCCTGCCTCACAGATTAAAAACTCTAGGAATTAAAATAAAATTTTTGTTCATTTCTTAACTAATTTATTGAGTTTTTTAAAACATACTAAAAATACGTGAATAAATTATATGCGAAATACACACATAAAATGTAAACGACATCTCTCTATTGGACGAGTATTCCGCTAATTTAAATTGATAAAAATTTTAAAAATAATTTACGGCATTTATTATTACCAAACGGCCACAAAACAGAAAATTAAATTGTTGATACTTGTTTTTGCATTTGTTCACACACAGCACCATTTTTTTTTTTTT